TTTTTGTTTAACTTGTAACACAGATTTTTTATGTAAACAACATACCCCCAATAAACCATCAAGATCCTGGCTTGACAGCCATAATTATTACAGAAATTAAAACACAGGCATGTTAATGCCATTTGAATTTCAAAACAATCAATGCCAATAAAAAAACACTGATTTCCATGTTGGATTCTAAGTGGACTGCAAAAAAAGCCAAAATACAGGAATTACAGAAATGGAAAATGGAAAATTATAATAATAAACAATTGAATACAAACAGTTGCACCCATTGTAAAGTTTTATTGCTGTGAGTTGAGAACATTAATTATAAAGTAGAAACAATTTTGCTTAGTCCTCCTTTACATTCATCCAGTTGCTTAGACTAGGAGTATCCCGCAAATGCAAAGAGACTCCCGGATGCCCGCAAATGAATGATAATATCTCGCAAACCGGTCCTTAAATACATTGCACACCCCTCTCCACCGCATCCCTCCTAGCTCTTCAGGTATGTCGCGCGCGACTCACCCCCACCGTCCTTCAGGTATGTCTCGTGCGCACACACCCCTACTCAGATACGTCGCTCACTCCACCTCTGACACCCCTCAACGGGCCTGACACAGTCACACACACAACGCACTGGAGCGACTCCCTTCAGTTTCAACACGCATGATCGCGTTCATCAAATTTGCTTAAACTAAGCGTTCTAAAGTATTACTGTATTTCACAAGGATTCTGACACAACAACGCGAAGCATACACTTTCATTGCGTTTAATGAGGAAACACGCTAAACTTGGAGGGCTCATGCTAAAAGGCAGAGTAATGCCCTGTCTTTGACAGCTCGCAACTTCTCCAGAGACTTTCTGAGTACATTTACATAAGACACCAATACTCCGATTTTAATATGATTAAGATTATACTCTTATTAAAAGTCTACCGTGTAGCCTAAGCAGCGATTTCATCACCTTAAAGGAACACCGAGTCACGAAATGCGGAGGATTTTCTTTCTGTTCGCCATGCGGTTTCAACTTACAACAGAAGTCGAAAGATAAAAATGAAACACCCGAAATTGCATGAAACTCTGGATAACCTGATGCGACTAATTATTTTATACTGGAACTTGCCTTCAAAAAGTGCTTCCTTGGTCTTATTCACATTTCTTGCATGTTGAACACACGTCCACCACAACAGGAAGTAAAAACAATCTGAAACTGCGTTAATTGCGTTAATTTCTTTTATCGCGTTAATTATTTAAAATTAATCGCATGCGTTAACGCACTAATTTTGACAGCGCTAATATAAATATTAACATATATATATATATTTATATATAAATATAAAATATCACACGGTATATCCAATCGGACTCACCTATATATATATAGTTTGCATGGGTTTCCTTTGGGTGCTTCGGTGTTCCCCACAATCCAAAAACATGCAGTATAAGTGAACTGCGTCAACTAAATTGGCTGAAGTGTATAACTGTGCATGAATGAGTGTGTTTGAGTGAACCGTCAACTTATCCAGCATATGTTTTACGCAGCGGATGCCCTTCCAGCTGCAACCCATCACCGGCAAACACTGATACACTCTCATTTACACACATACACTATGGACAATTTAGCTCACCCAATTCCCCTATAACGCATGTCTTTGGACTGTGGGGGAAACTGCAACACCAGGTGGAAACCCACACGAACATGGGGAGAACATGCAAGCTTCACACAGAAATGCCAACTGACCCAGTCGAGGCTCAAACCAGCGGCCTTCTTGCTGTGAGGCAATTGTGCCAAATATGTGTGATACTTGTATATTAAAACTGGTATTAGGGGAAATATTGCATTGATCAATTCCTAGACTAAAACTTTAACTGATGGAATCTGTCAGTAGATGGACAGGTGATACCTTCTAAGGTGATAGATATGGGTGCGGGGGTTCAGTTTTGAGAGTTGGATATCGTTACTCTCCTAGTAAGAAGGGCTGCATGGTTAGGTCGTAGGACTCACAGTTGTTGTCAGTGTGAATGGGGAATATATATATATATATATAGGTAAGTCCCATTGGCTGAAAACCGTGTGATATTTTGCAAATAACAGCTCTCGTCCAGCCTCTTAACACTTCACCCTTGTGTATTACTCCACCCACATACAGCGACAAGCAGAAGACACTATAGTTTGACAAATATTGCTGCTGTTGGACAACATAACATACTTTTGAGGCTTTTGTAGTCACAATGTAGTTAGATTGCCACATCGCACTGCTACTCATTCGATATTGCTCGATTGCTGGTTCGAGTCCTGGCTGACCAGTTGGCATTTCTGTGTGGAGTTTGCATGGGTTTCCTTTGGGTGCTTCGGTGTTCCCCACAATCCAAAAACATGCAGTATAAGTGAACTGCGTCAACTAAATTGGCTGAAGTGTATAACTGTGCATGAATGAGTGTGTATGAGTGAACCGTCAACTTATCCAGCATATGTTTTATGCAGCGGATGCCCTTCCAGCTGCAACCCATCACCGGTAAACACTGATACACTCTCATTTACACACATACACTATGGACAATTTAGCTTACCCAATTCCCCTATAACGCATGTCTTTGGACTGTGGGGGAAACTGCAACACCAGGTGGAAACCCACACGAACATGGGGAGAACATGCAAGCTTCACACAGAAATGCCAACTGACCCAGTCGAGGCTCAAACCAGCGACCTTCTTGCTGTGAGGCAATTGTGCCAAATATGTGTGATACTTGTATATTAAAACTGGTGTTAGGGAAAATATTGCATTGATCAATTCCTAGACTAAAACTTTAACTGATGGAGTCTGTCAGTAGATGGACAGGTGATACCTTCGAGGGTGGTAGATATGGGTGCGGGGGTTCAGTTTTGAGGGTTGGATATCGTTACTCCCAGTAAGAAGGGCTGCATGGTTAAGTTGTAGGACTTACAGTTGTTGTCAGTGTGTATGGGGAACAGGGACGGAGATTTCTTCTGGAAATCTTCCTCTTCACTGCCCATCTGTTCTTCCCACTGGCTGGCAGATCTGTAACTGCTACAGCCTCCAAAAACACAGCACTGATAGGCATATGGCATCTCGATGACCCTGTTTAAAACATTATTGAGAATAAAGCACAAAATGAAAAATCTCATATGTTCCATCAAACTTAGTTTTACCACATATTTGAATGGGCCAAATGGAGTTTGAACATTAAAAATAAGGACATATTGCATCAGTTTGAGGAAATATGAAAGCTATAAAAGATCACATTTCGAAGGAAAGAAAAAAATCAAAGAAAGAATGATTCATCAATCTGCAAATGACGCATTAAATAAACTAGCAATAAATCCAACCACAGGGACTATTTTAAATGGATTTGGGTCACGGGTGAAACCATGATTTCTCTTTCTTTTTAATCAGTTGCTTTTGGAAATGGCAACACTTGAACTCTCCCATTTCTTGAGGTGCTAATCAAATCAAGATAGCATTTAAGGCTGAAGTCTTGGAGGTTTTCCAATGCCCTGAGCTGTTGATGAAGCGGGACAGGATATTTATAACTAACCCTCTTGTGATTATTGAGGTATCTTAAAAAAATCTTTCCGCCTGTCAGAGGACTTGAATCAAGCCAGATATTCTAGGAAACGTAACAAACAGAAACCATTTACTTGTAGCAATGAACAGAATGTTCTCTAGGTCACACATTGTTACTATCTTGAAACTGTCAAATCTATAAACAGTTGATGATTCTTTGAAAATGGACTAAAACTTTCGTGTTTCTGCTATTCAAGCCATTTGTGTTGTGGGATGTAATAACCACAAACGCTTGTAAAAAACATGCTTTAAAGTGTAAGTGTTTTTAATCCTTTTGGGGTTATTGGATGTCATTAAAATGTACCTTATGTTGGGGAAGTCCTCCAATCCGAAGGAACGTGACAGTGCCATGTTGCCTTTCAGTTTGAGATGAGTAAGACTTGTCAGTCCAGTCATCGGCAAATTACTCAGTCGATTCCCAGTGAGATCTCTGAATGGAGAAACGAGACACCGAAGAATTATGAAGTGTAAAAGAATTTAAAAGTGGTACACTTGCATTAGCATACACAGGTCAGATCTGGGCCACAATTAAGCCATAGCAATATCACATATCAGCCAGAATTCAACCAAATGAACCAGAACTGACCCTATTCTGGGCCACAGTTTGCTTTTATTCTGGCCCAGATCTGGCCCACACCAGACACTTACATTTGGACCATATACTGTATGGATTGTTGGCTTACTGTGCCTGTCTTAAGATAACTGGGCCACATTTGCACCTACTTGTGTGAGCCACTTTAGGTTTAGACCCAGATTACCCTTAAATGACTGCCACTATTTGCTAACTGTGGCTCACATTTGTCCTCTGTCATTTGGGTCAAATTGATAATTTTCCACATGGGCCACATTGGGCTCACATTCAGATTACATTTTGCAATTAGTGCCAAATCTTTGCCTTAAATGGCCCATATATAAATTTGAATCTTTGTCCCCCCTTTGCCATTGTACAGGTGGGCCACTTCAGGCTCACATTCATTTTGTCTGGGCCGAAGGAATACCACCAGTGCCGCATAACTGCCTGAATTGGCCCACATTCGTATGCTCAGAACAGTAAGTTCAGACATGGCAAGTTTGATATGGAAAACAAACTCCCGAGGACATGTCGGGTAAAAATAGTGTAGGCTACTTTATAATGTCATTCACATCACCCTGGCTACGTTGTCTCATTATCTTAACAATGAAAAAAAAAAACGGATATAAGGAATTGCCTATTTTAATTTTGATAACACACTAAAATGTTGAGGCATTGTGTAGCTATACATTTATATGAGCGTCATCTTCACTGTATGCATATTTATAACTCCTTTTATTTTCCTTTTATGCCTCCTTTTATTTTTATTGAAAATACGAAACACATCCTGTCTCTTTTTTCTGAATACCTAATAATATATAAAAGTAATGTACAATACGTTTATACATTATAGGAAATAAAGGCAGGCAATCAGTCAAACGTGCAGAATTAGTGGACGTTTACATAAATGAATATATTAACTAATCTTTGCACTCAGCCAAAACACATTACCTGAGAGCAAGTAATAGATTCAAAAAGACTATTAGATGAATTATCACATTTAATAACTATAGTGAGATGAAATCCAGCGGAAGATCCTTGATGAGCTGTCCAACATTTGCTGCTCTCACCTGGGGAGGTGTGCTCAAAGCCCCCGCTGACTGCCTGGAGCTCAGATGTGCACATATGCTGCAGCGCATGCCAGAGTGTGTGTGTGGTCACGTGATATGTGTTTTCAGCGGTGTAGTGTGGATGGAGATGTGTTCAGAAGCGCTAGGTGAATTGCTAGTGTGGATCATGTTCAATCTAAACTGCCATTTTAAAACTAAAACGTATTAGTATATAATAATTATTTATGGTCAGCTTGTGTGTCAGGGTGATTTTAGTGTGTATGAAGGTCACACGGGTGTCAAGTTAGAGCAACCAAAGTTGTATTTCATCACTCTAACAAGGTAGAGTATATAGCACACCAATGTAAATAGTACAGAAAGATTGAGGTACAGATAAGTGGAGTTAATGTCTCTCAAAAGTGTTCAGCCTCACATCTTACATCGGTTTGTAATCTGCATAATGTCCCTGCATTTTTTTCACTGGTTTCAGTAGCCAGGTTTTCATTCTAATGTGTCGCAAAATGTTTTTAAAAATCCCAAATGTGAATTAGGTGCATTTCCATAAACTTGTTAGAGTGGCTGACGCAATGTGGAGGATATCACAACCATATTTCCTTTTTAAAGACAATTACACAATATTTATATTCAATACTAATGTTGAATTCCAGAATTCTACAGGCCTGTGAAAGGTTCACTTGTTGATTGGAGAATGTTTTATTTAAACCAACATGTTTTGGCAGACAGAGCTTGGACCTTTAACCCTGCTGAAAGCTAAAATACATCAGTTTAAATAAAACTTTGCATGTTCCGAGTTCAAGCTCTATCAACAGCATCTGTGGCATGCTGTTTATTACAAAAGACGATTATTTTTGCTAGTTTTTACAAATTATTTTTGGTGGTAATCAACTGCACACCATATATCCCGTCGACAGAGCTATACATTTATTGAGCCTAGAGCAGTTTTGCAATGTTTAGAACTGCTGCAGTATCTGTTCTATCCTCCTGAGACCCAAATAAATATTCTTCCTTTTTTCCCTTTTTTTCTGTGGTTTGCTACATCTTTTGGGTTAAAAAAAACCCTATAATTTAGAGTTTTTACATTTTGTTTTTATTTTTAATTTTACAGCATGCCCACATAGTGAACCACAGGACCATTTTAGTTCGAAACGACCGCCACTCATGCAACAATACTGTACAGGATATGTTCAAGTTTAATTTATTTATATAGCACGTTTCCAACTGCCACAAGGCTCCACAAAGTACTTTACAGAGAAAAAATAAAAAATGATTTGGGAATAAAAACAGTAACAGCAATAGTCACATAATAGGAAAGAACATAGAGAGTGTAACAATAACAAGAGCAAAAAAATAAATAATAGAAATTTTGCCTAATTAAAAGATTCTACCACAGCTGACCACACTAAACAAGATTAAGTACAGGACCATTTTGATCCCCCTCCCCACTCCCAACAACAATCGGTTGGGATAATTAATGAGGGCCTAGACCATGTAGGGCTTTATACAGAGAAGGATTTTAATTTTGATTCTTTGTGTCACCGGTAGCCAATGGAGAGACCTCAAAATAGGAGTGACGTGCATATTTCAGACTTTTTGTTAAAAATCTAGCTGCTGCATTTTGCACTAACTGTAGGCGAGCTATCTGAGACTTAGGCAGCCCAAAATAGAGAGTTACAATGGTCTAACCGGGAGGTTATAAGTGCGTGTATGGCAATTTCTAGAGAGTGTGATGGAAGAGGATTTTATTTTAGAGAGAAGGTGGAGTTGGTGGAAACTATTTCCAACCAGTTTTGAGTTATGGGATATTGAGATATTGAGGATTTTGGCTGTAAAGGGATGTTAATCCAATATTAATGAAACAAAAACTTCCTTTTGTATTGAAATTCCTGGAACAGTTTAGTCTCAAAAGAGAGCCGAAAAAAAAGAAGTGATGTTAATACAAAACAAATTTAACATAAAAGCGATTTAAAACTGATTGTCATTCTCTAATTGTCTCTAATTCTGTAATTGTCTGATTGTCCGACTCTAAATCAGAGCCTCCCTCAACTATCTTATGAAGAATCCTGTGCTTCAGTTCTGCCTCCTACAACATGCAGTCATTAATTACATTAAGATAGTCCTGGTGTCCACTATAGTGGACATTTAAAAGAAGATGATATTGTGAAACACAAACAAGTTAACAGCTTTGAACGCTGAATGTATTGTTCCTGACACTTTAATAAACAAATATAAATGTAATAATGATAGTAAAAAACATTTAAAAAGCTAAATTTTACATACCTCTCTCCTTCCTATAAAATGTACTTTTTTTGTATGTCGGCCATTTTGGATGCAGTGTAAGAAGTGGTTCCTAGCATCCCAGCCAATCAAATCACATATTACTAGAAAGCCCAGGATGTCCTCTGAACAGTACAACAGGACTTGACAGAGTAGCTCAAAAATTCAAAGAAAACTTATGATAATGCAATGTCCTCTACATAGGACACAAGTCAATGGGCGGGGTTTCAGGAGACTATATGAGCATTACTGTTGTTTTCCACTGAACATATTTATCAGCCTTAATCTGCCACTCTTTATCAGTTTCTTTCACTCATTTAATCGTCTGTGAAGACACACATCTTCACCACTGCGCAGAGCTTTTAACCGTGATTACAACTGCAGTCTGTTCACTGAAAGCCTACAAAAGCACTGCACAGATGACAGAAAGTGTGGAATCTGTGTTTGTGTAAACTGTGCGCTTGTGCCAAGTCTCAGTTTAATAGCAACTATTATGTCATTACTATACGGGGGTGATTCAAGTATTACGGGTATTTTTGGTCTCCAAGATAAACCTTCTATTGTTTTTCAAAAACAAAAACTTGAACGAATCAGTTTAGAACTATGACACAAATAACATTATAGTAAGTTCATTCTAAAATAAAAATGTGTGTATGTACCCTACCTAACAAAAGTCTTGATGCCTATCCAAGTTTTAGGAACAACAAATACTAACTGGACCTTTAGTTGATCATATGAAAGACAAAGCATTTTAGATTATTTTTTTTTTTCACCAAAATAAAATATGATAATGCCTTGACTTGGAATTATTTAATTAGAACAGTAAGGTCTGACATGCTTAAATAACTTATTAATAAAGTCACCTGGAATGACAAAGGAAGGATTCTTGCAGGACTCCCAGAGTTCATCAAGATTCTCTGGATTCATCCTCCATCTTACCCCAGACATGCTCAATAATGTTTATGTCCAGTGACTGGGCTGGCCAATTCTGTAGCATCTTGATTTTCTTTGTTTTAAAGAACTTTGACTGAACGGAGTGCTGTCCTGCTGAAGAATTTGCTCTCCTCTTTGGTTTGTAGTGTAATGGGCAGCACAAGTGTCTTGATACCCCGGGCTGTTGATGTTGACATCCACTCTGCAGATCCCTGCACACCCCCCTACTGATTGTAACCCCAAATCATGATTTTTTTCTTCACCAAACTTGACTGATTTCTGTGAGAATCTTGGGGTCCTTGCAAGTTTCAATATGTCTTCTGCAGTGTTTGTGATGATTGGGATGCAGTTCAACATATGATTAATCTGAAAAATCGACCTTCTGCCACTTTTCCAAATGATCTACTAGAAGTCAAGTTATTTTGTGTTGCTCTTACAACTGGGATTGGCGACAAGTCTTTTGTCAGGTAGGGTATATTTAGGGACATACAGTACATTTCTTGAAAAGATTGGCTTAAATACTCCCAATATACAGTGACTTCCTGGCAGCAGTTCACCAGTAGCTTACTGTAAATCAATTACAGGAAAAATACTGTATTTACATTTACAACAGCATTTTTATTGCTGTATATGCATTTGCAGAATTGTATGTATGTTTGTATGTGTATATATATATAGTAGTTTTCACAATGCAACTTTAAAATACAGGTCATTTAACAGTTAAATACTGTGTCATTTACAAAAATCGTAATTAACAGTGCAGCTATTTTAAATAATAGCTTTTTCAGTAATTATCATGAAATAATTAAATTAATTTCATTCGTTTTTGTGTGAGTTTACTAAGTTAAAAATGTGCACGAAACTATTATTTGTAATTTTAATCATTTAAAAAAAATGTGTGTCTGTCCCTGGTCAACTCTGTCAGCTTTAAAAATGCATAACTGTCTTTAAAGGACTGATAGAAAAAGCATGCGACTTGCTCCAAGTGATGTCAACTGGTGGGAAACTTAAAGGCATTGAGGCATGTCATTTGTTCTTCTCTCATTCATTTCTACAACATTTTTATAATATCATCTATGTTACCATGACATTTCTGTGAATTTCTCATTCACTCTTTGAAAACAAAAATATGATTAAAAAATACACAAAAATTCTGTTTTAGACATGTCTTGTAGATTCTGGTCTGAGGTTAGCATCTTGAGCTAAAGAAAACATTCCTTCTATCTCGAATTCAATCAGAGAAAACATGTCAACTCAGTTATTATCAACTCTTTTAGTTTTAAATGTTTAAATAATAGAAAATGCTTGAAGTGATTTGGGAATATACAAAATACTCACAGTTTAATGAGAGACTGAAGAGAGAAAAAGGCATCGGGGTGGATAGAGTTGATGCTGTTCCAGCTTAGGTCCCTGTAATCAGATAGAATTTACTTGTTTATGGGTTCAAAACAAGAAGTCACTTGGAGAAGGAATGTTTTCCATATTTATAGGAGTTTTTGTTCTAACTAACACCTGAAATGTATATTTTAGAAAAGGCTTTTGTTTCTTGCAGCTGAACAACAGGACACAATGACAATGATCACCTTAGGTACACCTCTTGTGCTTTATTCAGCATTATATGATCATTATCACAGTCGTAGCAGTGCGTGGCTGTATATCAGCACTGGTGGGAGGCGTGCGTTGCCTTAAAGTCCCACCAGTGCTGATATACAGCCATATCGCATTGCTACAAGTGTGATATTGTGTTTATACAACAGTTTGATGGCATTTATTAGAATTATTAGCCCCCCTGAATTATTAGACCCCATGTTTATTTTATCTTTTTCCAATATCTGTTTAACGGAGAGATTTTTTTCAACACATTTCTAAACATAATAGTTTTAATAACTCATTTCTGATAACTGATTTGTTTTATCTTTGCCATGATGACATGGTATTTTTCAAGACACTTCTATACAGCTTAAATTGACATTTAAAGGCTTAACTAGGTTAATTAGGTTAACTAGGCAGGTTAGGGCAACTAGGGAAGTTATTGTCCAATGATGGTTTGTTCTGTAGACTATTGAAAAAAAACCTTAAAGGGGCTAAAAATTATGACCTTAAAAAAAAAAATATATATATATACATATATATAACTGCTTTTATTCTAGCTGAAATAAAACAAATAAGACTTTCTCCAGAACAAAAAATATTATCAGACATACTTTGAAAATTCCCTTGCACTGTTAAACATCATTTGGGAAATACTTAAAAAAGAAACTGAGTGTGTGTGTGTGTGTGTGTGTGTGTGTGTGTGTAGGACTCACAGAGAGCGCAGAGAGCCGAGCTGCTGGAATGTGTTCATCTCAATCTGTTTGATCAGATTGTGCTGCAGGCCTCTGTCGAGTCAAAACAAAAAGCTGGTGTTACAGCATCACACACATTCACATACTATGGCAGACATTGACCAAGAAACCATGTAAAAGCTTCCAAAATATGGACACTGATTGATTAATGCAGTAATGACTGTCATTTGTCAAGTTCAGTGTGGGTTATTTAGGGCCCATTCAGTTATCTTAGATACAGTATATGGGCCGTGTTACTGTGTTACACTAAAGAGAGACGCCTGAACTCACATCTCTTGAAGAGAAGTGCAGTGGTAAAAACTTGGCAGCTCTTCGATGACATTGTGAGACAATTCCCTGAAATCAAACAGAGATTAGAAACATCTGGAAGATGCCCTTATCTGGCCGGTACAGTCAATAAAACATCAAGATCAAATCACATACAAGATAAGAGTGTTGGTTTTCTACACTAAATTACATTTGGCCTGGGTGAGAATGTTGGTATTGCAATGGTTTCTCATTTTTGGCTAAGTGTAATTTAGAACACATTTACATTTTATTGTCTAATCTGTTGTTAATATTGTTACTTACAATTATTTAGTAATAATCCCTGCTTAAATCAATAACTAACTGGTCAGTGATGACAATCTTTTGCTGCTTTGTCTCCAATTAACATCACTTTGTTACCATAAACTGATTCTGGCCTGGCTTTGTGAAACATTTCCGCACATTCATTCATTCTTTCATTAATTAATTAATTAATTAATTAATTCATTCATTTTTTTTGGCTTAGTCCATTAATTAATCTGGGGTCGCCACAGCGGAATGAACCGCCAACTTATCCAGCACGTTTATATGAAACGGATGCCCTTCAAGCCGCAACCCATCTCTGGGAAACAACCATTATTAACACTACGGACAATTTAGCCTACCTAATTCACCTGTAGCGCAAGTCTTTGGACTGTGGGGAAAACCGGAGCACTCTGAGAAAACCCACACGAACGCAGGGAGAACATGCAAACTCCACACAGAAACGCCAACTGACCCACCCGAGGCTTGAACCAGCGACTTTCTTGCTGTGACAGCACTATCTATTGCGCCACTGCATTAAAATTTTTACACATTTAATTGCAGTTTCAGGGTGGCTCAGTGCTTAGCACTGTCACCTCTCAGCAAGAAGGCCGCTGGTTCGAGTCCTGGCTGGAAAAGTGAGAGTCTCGCAGAGCGCACAATCATCTGTTTTATTCGGTATTCACCTGCTTTTTTTTTTTGCTCATGTGAACACTGTCGTTTTTGTCAGTCGTGCTGCATCTTGATTCTCGAGGGCCATCCTTACGCCCCATTCACATGGGGCTTCAGCGTCACCGCTTGACAGAGGGCGTGCCTGAAGATGGGGCTGACGCGATATTCATAGCAGAGTCAGCCAATGAAATTAGTTGAAAATAGGCCACTATCTGAGCTGGTGTATTTGCATACAGCGATCTAATTGGCTGACGCTTCCAACTAATTCCGACGGATCCACAATGCAGTTCGGCAAATCCTGATGTCACCCATTCAAAGTGAATAGGAAGCGTTGAAGCTGATGCCCCTGTGAATGAGGCGTTATTGTCGAACTTAGCTTTTAAGAAGACTACAATTTAAAGATTATTATCAACAAGCCAAAATGGCTAATGGCTAGCCACGGTTTAAATCTACCCTATATATATATGTCCCCAATTTCAGATTAAAGGAAAGACGATTTTTAAAACACATTTCTTATTACTGATTTCTTTTATCTTTGGCATAAGAAAAGTACATGATAATTTACTAGATATTTTTCAAGATAACGGTATTCAGCTTAAAGGCTTAACTACTGTAGGTCAGCTAGGTTATTAGGCAAGTCATTGAATAACATTGGTTTGTTCTGTAGCAAAAAATACATATGTTTAAAAAAGTAAGCGGGTTAATCATTTTGACCTTAAAATGGTTATAAAAAAACTGCTGTTATTCAAGCCAAAATAAAATAAATAAATAAATAAATAAATAACTAAAATAAAAACTTTCTCCAGAAGAAAAAAAAAATATTTTAGGAAATACTGTAACAGTTTCCTTAATCCTTTAATAATCACTTTAATATTTCCAATAAAGAACTGAAATAAAATAAATATTATATAATAAATATAATAAACTCACAGACACACACACACACACACACACATACTAAGTCATTTTTGTTGAACTGTATGGTTTCACTGTTAAAGGTTGTCAGAGTAGTGCAATAATAATGCAATTTGAAAGCATAACTGAACAGTCATAAATCATGAGCTACAGACAACTATTAATTAAGAGTTATTTTGTTTAAGTGTGTGTACATTTTAAACAATTTTTTAAGAAAAAATGTTTATGCAAGAAGAAATCTTGGAGCGAGAATAAGCGAACATGAAGAGGGAATGGCATGTTAAGCAGCTTCTTTCCCCAGAGGTCTAATTCTTCATCTGAACAGTTACATAAAATCTCTGTCTTCCCGCAAGCGTTCCTCAAACGCAGCTCGTCCACCTGAAAAAGGCTGCTAATAAAAATCCAAATCAGAGTCATGATGACTACAAAAAATAGTACACTTCAGAAAACAAATCAAATGCATTTTAAACTTTCAGATTACTTCGCTACGAAAAAAACAGTGAGTAAAGTTTGCGCAATACTGATTTGATGGTTTCAAGTTCACGTAAAAAAAGAGGCTTTCAGGAACTCCTGGAGTTTGGTTAGCTCAAATCCCAGAGGGTGAATTTGAACTCACTCCTCAAGCTTGGATCTTGAGGAATCTTTCAGAGATGAGCTTTCCAATGTGTTTGTGTGTTGCAGGTGCGTATGTGTGTTGGGAAACTCACAGCACTTTTAATTTCGGCAGCAGGTGGCAGAGATCATATGGCAGGCTGGTCAATCCAGCGCGGGTCAGTGTACTGAGAAAAAAATTAAAGAGCACAGTTTACACTCAAGGTTTGTGTGTCTGTGGGTGTGTGTGTGTGTGTGTGTGTGTGTGTGTTTGTGTGTGTCAAACAGCAAAGAGAATAACTCTAAATAAACATAACAGTCAATGAGATTTTCATAACAGTCAAT